AAATTCTAGTAAAATCAGGTGAAAGTTTAGGTGAGTTACCAGTGTGGGTGAGAGAGTTAAGGAAACAGCAAGTCTGGCAGCAATGGTTGGGTTTACTTAGTACTGTTAGTTAGTTAGAAAGGTGATCGAAATTTCGAAAGTAGAGCATGGACACGTGTGAGTAAACTATGCGAGAAAGAGAAAGAAAGAAAGAGATACCGGGAAAGTGTTGGACAGTGAGCGGGAAAATGAAATATTGTTTGCAAAGCTGCGTAAGTAACGGTAAGTGTGACCATTTGAATTTGTGTAGCTTAAGCGTGAACTTTATTTTGCTTTAGGACTTAGAGATTAGACGAAGAAGATTAGAATTTGCTTGCCAAAATGGAAATAACATTTTTCGGCTTTTATGGTCTAAAATGTATGCTTATTTTACTTGAAATTTTAATTTTCACCACAGTAAATGGAAGAGCGTAAGAGGTAGGGGAGCAAAAGTAAGTAATCTCATACACAGTGCACATAAACTGGTGAAAGTTGATGGCTTTGAGCTACGTATAACAAGTTTTGCGTATCTGAGAACATTTCTGAAGATTCTTAAAAGCGCATTCTTTATACAGGACATCGCTAGAAGGGGTAAATGACGCTCATGATAGAGGAACCGCCCATAAAACGGGGTTTTCAATAGGGACACTACAAAAGTAGACTGATAAGCACAGCAAGCCTTATTTTTCCCGTTCTTTTGACATTACTATTCGGTAAGGTTTGCCATTTCATCATGAAAAAATATGCGAACCAAGATCGAGTCGAAAATATTCAAATTTACTAACGAAATTGAGCTCAACAATTAAGCGACCAGTGGAAAATCTAGTGGGAATCCATAGGCACAGTACAAAATGTTCCGCTGTCTGTGAGACTCAAAAGTGCACGTAGTGTCGAGAATGTTGCCGCCGCTAGTGCTTCCAATTGAGGAAGACCCAAATCAGTCTCTCACATGTTGTTCGCAAGGGTTGTTTGACGGAAGAAATGARGCCGTTTGAAAACCGGAATCGTCGTATGTTTGTGAATTGGGCTGAGCAACAACTTAGAAATTATTCGGCTTTTCATCTTCAGCGATGAGGCTCATTTCTCGTTGAATTTCTTCGTGAGTAAGCAAAATATGAAGTACTGGTTAGGCAGCAATCTACATTTACTCCATGAGTCACCACTACGTTCCGACTTATGGGACGGTGGCGTCACTGTTTCGTACTTCTAAGACCGCCAAGTTACCGTGAATGGGAATCGCTACCGCTCAACGATAACCGAATATGTTTGAACTGAATTGGATGATATGGACTTAGACAATATGTGGCTCCAACAGGTCGGCGCCACAAGCCAAACAGCGAATGTCACAATGGATTTATTGAAAACCAAGTTTTATGAACATGTTATCTCACGAAATGGCCCGGTCAATTAACCTCCTCGGTCGTGCGTTTTCAGGCTGTTAGACTATTTCTTGTGGGGTTATGTCAAGTCTACAGTCAATGCCAATAAGCCAGATACGATTGATGAATTTCGTATGAATATCGACTGTGGAATTGCTAAAGTATCGGCTGATTTATGCTTGAGAACTGTCGAAAATTGGGTTCAGCGTCTGGACTTCTGCAAGCGTTTAGCTGAGACATGCTTAAAGAAGTTTCTATATCATTTTAGGAAAGTTAACTTACTACCGTTGATCAAGGATTAAGGATTATGATGCGCAAGGGAAATAATTAATTTTTTTTAGTGGAATTTTCGTTGACTTAAATCGAAATTTACAAAATTTCGCACACTGCTAAAATTTTCAACACATATTCCGCAACAGTTTCAACAAAATGAAAAAAAAAAAATCGAGTGAAAGTTGACCGCCTAAGCGTGCAAAGACTTACTAACCCACTTTTAGTTGAAATTCGGCAAAAACTGGCGAAACACACCAACTGACGTGTGCAGAGTGGCAACTGGTGCAAAAGGTACCAACAAATAACAAAAAAGTAACAACAATAAAACTAACTGTAACGAAAGTGACTTGTAAGGTGGCAAACAAATACAAATGCCAATTGCTAACTCCTGCCACGAGCTTGCGATAAAAGTCATGACAAACAAATTTACAAGCGCTTGCGACAAGTGAGGTGTAAGCGAACGCGGGTTCGGCTGACAAGCAGTGGGGTGGGAGTGGCAAATAGTTAGCTCACTTAAGTGAAATACTGAAGAAAATTTAGTTTATTTCGTGTGGAAGTACAACAAAAACAAGAGCAATAAATTGCTGTTTTTCGCCGTTTTCCTGTCGTGCGGCGCGCTTGGCGTTTGGCGTGTGGCGTTCGCCGCGCGCGAATTAGAATATATAGCTACAATTGAGTTAACTGTATTATTATTTGTTTTTGGTTTTGTGTTGTTGTTGCTTGCCACTTCAAGTTGACTGCGCAACTTTACTGCGACGACACTCACTAAAAATTGCATTTCCACATGCAAAAGTTTCAATCCCCTGCGGGCACGCCATGAAATATGAGCAAAGCAAAAAGCAAAATGAAATAAATTAGAAAAATATTAAAAAAAAAATAATAATAATAATAAAATTGAACAAATACACATGAGCTTTGTTTTGTATGCAAGTTTTTTCTTTTTCAAATTTGGTTTACCACTTTTTGTTGTTGAAAATTTCCGAACTTTTATTCACGTCTCCCTTTTCACATACGAATTATGAATATTCCTTTTATTTTCAACTTTTCGCCTGCAGCTGAAGTGCAAATAACTCAGTTTCCAACACATATTAATACATATATGTGTTTGTATGTAGTAAGTGCAGCGAAAGCTGACAAACTATTTCACCGCAATTTTTTCTCGCTATCAACCTTGACTCAGATTTTATTGTTGGCTCGGTTGTGAAACCCTTTCGGCGTTTTCGTTTAAGCAAATGGAAAATTTGTGTTGAATTTTAATGATATTTACGAATGATTTATTGAGTTCTGATGGCAATGCGAAATAGGTGCGCAAGGTCAGTGGAGGAGGAATAAATAGTGAACTAAAGTAATTAAAGAATAAGAGAACACTGCTATGTGGAGTCTAAAGAGCGGTATCGGTAAGGATAGCCAACTAAAATAGCAGGTTAGCTGAGCTTCTAAAGCATGGGAGAGGCGAGTACCTATCATGTTTGGAGTAAAGACTGGATATTAATTGGCAAAATTCAACCCAAACCCCCCCTTTTGATGACGAGCATGGCAAACGTGTTAAAGATTATCATTTGAGGGCATTCACCTGGAATGTTCGGTCCCTTAATTTGGAAGCTGATTCTACTCTGCTGGTTGAGTGTTCTCGTGAGAGTAAAAGCTGACATCAACAACAACGGGACAAGAACTAAGACGAGTTGGTCCTTGTGGTAGTTACTACAAGGGCAATGTAAAGGAGCGCAAATTTGGTGTGGGATTCGTGGTGGAAGAGAGACTCCCTCGCCGAGTACTGTCATTCACCACAATCCGCATCAAAGCGAAGTTCTTCAAAATATCACTAATCTGCGCCCACGCCCCGATGGAAGAGAAGAACGATGTGACCAAAGATGCCTTCTATGAGCACTTTGAGCGCATTTACGAGAGCTGCCCCCGCAACGATATCAAAATCGTGTTTGGCAACTTTAATGCCACGGTGGGAAAAGAAGATATCTTTGGCACAACGGTCGGTAAATTCAGCTTCCACCAGAATACAATCCCAAATAAGTTGAGGCAGTTCGACTTCACCGAGGCCCGAAATACGGTTAACTGTATTATTAGAATCGAGCATAGGGAAAAAAAGGAAGTTACATGGCCGTCTCCGGATCGAAAACCCACCAACAGATCATTCATGTTGTGATAGACTGACGACATGTCTCCAGTGTTTTAGAAGTGCGTATTCTCCGAGGTCCTAACATTGACTCGCACCACTATCTTGTTGCAGCCAAGATATGCACCCGCCTCTGTACAGTAAGGAACGCACGTCAACAAAAACCAATGAGGATTCGACGTCGAGAAGCTGAATTCACAACAGTTAGCAGAATGATATTCTGCTCGACTTGCATTCCTCTTATCTGAGAGCACTCATTGCAGACTCGGTATAAGGGAACTGTGGGTTGGAATTTAAAGCTCATTATAGACAGCAGGAACCGAAACCAGAGAGCTGTCGGAGTGGACAGAAAACGAACTGCCTACCTAGCAACGTTTCAATCGACCACAACACGTGCGGGACGGGATAGATACCGAGAGTTGAAGAGGGAAGCGAGACGCATTTGCGGGCAAAAAAAGAGAGAAGCCGAAAGCACGAAGAGCTTGCCAAGCTGGATGACGGGGGTAATGATCGAAAATTCTACGAAAGGACGAGGCAGAATATTTCAAGACTGGAGCATAGTCTTTTAGAATCCCCAGTGGTGATCTAGTAACTGATGCCCAGAACACTTCTCCAGCCTACTGAGTGGCAGTGAACGCATAACACCAAGGTATGGTGAACCCGATTCCCCAATCCATGACATTGGAGCGGGAGGTCCATTATCCGACAGGGAAGAAGTTCGAATATTACCCAATTACCCGTCTGAAGAACAACAAAGTGGCGGGGGCGAATGGATCTCCGCATATAAGGTTCTATGGATCGTATTGTGTGAAATAAAGCCCATCCATAACAAATTAATTCGACCTTTACAATGTGGCTTAAGACCTGGAAAATCAACAATGTTCACTATCCGCCAAATCTTGGAAAAGACCCGTGAAACAAAAGTAAATAGAAATTTACCTATATTTTCACAACCACTTTTTCGCTTATAGCGACGCCCCGGTGGGGGCTTAGGGGCGAATGATACATTTCCGGAAAGGTCTTCGAATTACCACACATCACCTCTTCGTCGATTTCAAAGCTGCTTTTGACAACACGAAAAAGAGAGTCCGAGTTACGAGTTTTCGAGAGAAAGGCTCTGCGATATATTTGTGGTTCTTTGCGCATTGGCAAATGCCTATTATAAACAAGTAAAGAATTTACATTCGATATAAACTTACCACAGGCTTGATATATCTCTTGGGGTACTTAGGGATTTAGTTATTAGTTTACGTCAATTCACAGTCGATGTAGAACGTTCTGTAATTAAAAGATATAAATAATATTATATAAATATTAACTTATAAAACATATTAATGATTAATACAAAGAAAGATCAGGTTAAGAAACAAAATTTACATAAAATATAAGACTATAACTAAAAAAAATAAATCAAATAAACAAAAATATGCACGTCAACCGCCACAATTATACAATATGTTACATAAGAAAAAGCTATAAAAATAAATCCCACTCCATGCAGCAATCAAGTTCAATCTACAAGTTTTTCCACCAACAGTTGACAGACGTTCGTACACCGCTTGTTGGTTAATGCCAAGAGCGTTGTCATTGTCCCGATTAGCGCGGTCGGTTAGTCAATACCATCGTTTGCCATGCCATTGAATTTAAACTGCCTTTTCCTGACTGCTAACAAATCTACACGCCTAATCACATAAGCGTCTGCAACTCATCTCATTTCCCGACTGGCTGGACCAAACGCCACTTCACCGCACAATCCATGTAAGCAATTTCATTATCTCAACTTAATCTCTTTCTAATCTGTGTGTCCGACACGGTCGTGAATTTCATAATTTGATTTCTGCTCTGTGTCCCATTTCGCAAAGGTTTTTTGTAAGCACATTAGGGTGGCCCATTAATATTTTTGTTCACAATTTTAGAGAGTGGTAAGTGATAGAAAAACTTAAGACATCAAATATAATTTTAAATGCCAACATTTTAATTGAGGACAATTGAAGAGTTTCAAGTTTAAGGGGTTAGCTTGAGTTAAGTTAGAGAGCTAATTAGAGATCACACATGGACTGATAATGTAGTCTTTATGAAGCCATCGAGAAAAGAACTTTACGGATTGTAGCAAATACAAATTTACAAAGGCGCTTAACTTCAACACTCGCCAGTTCGGTAGGATGTCTGAAGCTATGCGGCCCCAAGTGTCTAAGTCTTGACCTCTCAAACGCGAGACAGTCAAGAAATAAGTGCTGGCTTGTTTCTACCGCATCTTCTTCCAAACAACTTCTGCAGTCGGCGTCCGGTAAGACTCTCATTCTTACCGCATGTACGCCAATAGATTAGTGGCCTAGCCTTACTGAGGGCAAAGACATCGCTAGACCTCCTGCGGTCTATTTTGGTTTAAGGTATTCATATTATATACTAAAATAGTTAGTAGCAGTTCAAAATAGATGTTTACGAAATCCGGTAACACTGAAGTAAAGGACTTCTGATCTAAAGTTTGTTACCTCTTAAAAAACAGAAGATAATTTTAAAGCTTAGACTCAACACTTTCGATATTTTTCGAAACTTAATGTTCAGCCTTTTTTTCGCAATTAGTTGCCACCCTAACGCACTTAGATTCATGCACCCGCAGTAGAAGAAATAGCATTTACAGCACAATGCGAGGAAAGCAATTCAACTCGGCAGCTCAATTTCAGTGTGCACGCCTTATCGCGGTTTCATCGACACTCGCAGAGGCGCCGAGAGGCAAAGAAAGTCGAAAACAAACACACACACAAACTCGAAGAAAACTCAAAGCAAGAATTAAGTAGACACAGCAGCAGCTCCGGCCCATGGAGACAACAAGAAGGAAGTCGAGTGCAAGCGAAATAAAGCAGACATTGCACAGTTAAAGTTGACGACCGGACGCTACAGCAAATTGGCTTTTATCGAGCGCACGAGATCGAACGAACTACACGAAGTGCCTGCCAGTCTCACCATTTGAGCTGCGAAGAGAGACACGGGCAGCAGCCAGTACGCAGTCAGCCGCGTTGATTTTTAATGATGGGTGCGCACGACGTGCTGCTCTAACGCGCGTTTTTATTTACCGTTCTCACTGCAGACGGCTGCTGTACATGCCGGCCGGCCAGCTCGCCTTGACTTTTGGGGTGTGTACGGCAAATGAAATGAAATCATTACACTTTAACTCGTGCAATTGCAGGCAAAACACAGATGCCGGTTTGCAAGAGAGCGAAGTTGAAATGAGTAAAAGTAATAAAAAAAATTAAGTAGAACCGGAGACGTTAGCTGAGGAGGCGACGTTGCGCGAGATATTTGTAGGAATAAAATACAAGAAAAAGAATAAGAAACAGGGATGTCGCGTAGCGCGCTTCTGGAGTGAGTCTGCATGAGGGAATGAGTTGTTGTATTGATTAAATTTCTACTTTTCTGTTCCGAACTCCACTTCGCTTAACTACTCATTCCATGGCGCTTGCTACACTCGCTTTACGAGACGGACGCTGGTGTTGGCGCATATTACACTTCTTTTAATTCGATTACAATTCACACTTGAACTGATTTCTTGCCGCAAGAAGGCGGCATACCTAAGTTGGATTGTTTTTGAAGCTGAAGTCAATAAGTCGCTGAACTATGCAGCAAGCAAGAAAGTTAGAAGCAGCACGTACTTTAAAGTATTTGTGGCTGCTCATGCTATTATTGTTGGTGCTTTAAACCACAGACCCTTAAGCAGCAAGCTTTTAAACCGTAAACTGCCATTGAGTCTTTAGTCCTGTCAGTTTGTTTGACAGAAACGTAAATAACTTCCACGCGCACTTAAGCGCATGCCACATGCAACACGCTACAAGGTTATTGCTACAGGCGCACAAATAGCAGCTAGGCTCTCCTCGGCTTTCTACGGCGTAGCAGAGTGCAGCTAAGATACGTGGTAAGTAATAGGTGTAGCAGTGTTGGTGCAAGCGAATGTTGCACAATTTTATTTAAGCAGTACATGACACATGTTCGCCGCGATTCGCGTCAAGCGGCTGACATTTAGTGCAGCAAGACGACGTAATAACATTGGAGTGTCAGCGCAGCAGGCTAAGTGCAGGCGCGCGACAAGTGGCAGGTGAGATATGGTAAGTTTCAGGCGGAGATCAAGGAGTGGGTGGACATATGAGCGTTGTATGTATATAGCTCGTGGAAGGAAAGCAGATATTTGAATGGTATTTTAGAAACGACTAGGGATGAAGAGCTGGAGTCTTTACTGTTTAAGTGAAGGCTCGTTAAGTTTTCACTTTTTTCATGAAAATAGAAAAAGCTCTCCGAAGAGACAAAAGCGGCTGACGATCAGTTTTACACCCTATAACCTATTTAAAACTTATTCGTAAAGAAAAAATTTTTAGAAGAAAAGTTTAAAAGCGTCTCTCTCTAATACTGAGCATTGCCTCCCACAAATTGAGGTTTACATTTAAAGTTATCATCGAATGCCTCCTGTAGTTTTAACTATTCATGCCAAATTGATCTGAAGGTCTTAACTTGTTAAGATGTCACATGGGTTTAGAGGTTCAAAAAATCGACTTTATTATTGTTTTATTAAATTATAGAACACCTCTAGAATATTGTTCTAAATTTTCAAGTTGATTCGCATAACAGTTCCGGAGATACAGCCTTGAGAACATATGCGCTTGAAGCTGGCTAGGCTAAGTGCGCCGCCTTTCACCGCGTTTTTCTCTTAACTTTGTTTTTGAAGTCGGTTTCCAAGATTTCTCGAGAACTACTCAACCCATCTTCTTTAAATTTTACGCAGTTCTTTGAGCTATAATTCATAAAGACTTGTAACCCCTTAACTTAAGTATAATTTGTGGCACAATCTCATTCGAAATCGGAGCGTCTAAGGAAGAGACCGAAATCGTCAGTTAATAGAAAACAAAACATAGTATTTCAAATTAATATTTATTTATGTACCACCCTGTATTCCTTCACACGCACTTAAAATAGCGCACTTCGTTCGAGTATGCCAAAAATGTGGGAGGTCGTCAGCGCCGGCATTTTGTGCGTATTAAGTTCTCGAGATGAAACACATTAAATGCTGTCAGCATTGTTATTGTGCTTGAAATACACTCACAAAACAACAACAACAAAAACACTGTATCGTGAATTTCGTGTGGGTTGTTGATGGTTTCTGCACAACTATGAAAGCAATTAATGCAGAAGAGCATAACGGCGACTTTTTGTTTTGGCTTAAGAGACTTTCGGTATGACTTTGAAAAGGTACACAACGTGACAAAAAATGACGTATAACAAGTGACTAGTATTTATGAACTTAGAGACTTCATTAGCTCTGAGACTGAGGGTAATCTTATTAACAGTGGCTTGTAGTAAGGGACATACTAAGACACTTACCAGGTTCCCTTTTCTATCCAGTAGCACGGAATTTCGAATATCTTTAGAATTAAACTTAAATTCGGTCTTCATTATTGTCTTCGCTTTCAGAGAAAGCAATGGAATATGGGTAAAATGCATAAATATCTAAACGGACGGGTTCAAATTGTATAATGTAGTGGAAGGTTGTGATTTTTCAGCATAAGTTAGATATCAGAATTACCTTTCGAGTATCAAATCACTGCAGTATCTTCCAAGTTGAGATCACCGAAATGAAAGAAATCTTAATCTTCTTTTGCTGATAAAGAGGGCGCTTACAACAAGATATATATGTATTTATATTCACATATAAGCTCTTAAGGTCTCATCAAAGATAGTGAAATAATGTCTTTATCAATTAGCGGGATTAGCTTTCTATTTCACAGTAAACTTGTTATGGTTTCCAGAATACAGTGTTGTTTCTACTTCAAAGTAGATGAAATAGGCAGAGCAGATCAATTATTGCAAGAAAAGTTTGAATATACGATTTTTTCAGAAATTTGAGAGATTGAGTGACTTCCAAGATTTTGTAATTTAACACCAGTTGACACTTCTTGTGGGATTCTTTGAAGCCAATGGTCTTTAACAAAAAATCCGACTCTCTTCAAGTTTTAGAAGTCAATATTGACGGGCCCTGAAAATCCTGAAGAAGAGTCTCTTAGACACTTCCAGAAAAATCTTTCTGAATATGCTTTTTTTTATTGTTACGAGAAGCTTCAAAAAAAAAAAAAAAAAAAAAAAAAAAAAAAAAAATAAAAAAAAAAAAAAAAAAAAAAAAAAAAAAAAAAAAAAAAAAAACGAAAAACTTAAATAAAATAAGTAAGAAAAGGCTATGTTTGGTTGTAGACGAACGATTTATACTCTGGCAATTTTGCCAATTAAGAAAGCCTGCA